TTTATGGACCTTTTTAGCATATAAATGTTTTATTTTTTATCAGTGTATGTTTTATCAATGTAACAATGTATCGATGTATCAAAATATTTTGGTTTAAAGTTTAAGAGGAAATCTGAGGCCCTATATCTATTCACCACTTCTAATCACCATTTTGCCTTCACTAATTCATTTTAAATGGTCCTGCAGTGTGAACTCGAATATTTAAAGGTGCAAACATTCCATGCAGATGCTCAATTAGTATGAGCTTATAAAATATGATGCATAATTATAATAGAATTAGCAAAACACTGCTTAAAATAGTGTCATAAACTATTTAGTGTCAACTACCCAAATACAGAGCAGCCAATGACCTTTAGGATAATGCACAGAGGAGCCCATGAGTGTCTGCACACTCCACAATCTGCTGATTTCTTAGGAACTAACAAACAAGCATCCAAACACTTACAGGTACAGACACGCACACACACAGAGAGGCATAAATCAGCGGCTGAAACGGACGGTGCCGCGCAAATGAACAGAATCATCTGAATCCTGTCCGGTTCCCATGGTAACGCAGAATGCCGCAGAGTACCTGTCTTTACCTACAGCAGATAGATTCAAGTACGGAAATGAATAAAACACTAGATTACGGCTCTAACACACTAATTGACACTCTCGCTGTGCTGCTGAGATTCCAAAAGTATTCCACACTAAAGGCATCAAGCTTTTACAAAGCATTAAACATCCTGAAGCTCGCTGATTAAAGTGTTTCAGGGCTTTTTTTAGTGGCTCTTTGCAAATAATGCATGCTCTCACTTCACAATGCAATCAAACACTCTTGATTTAACAAATAATTAGGATAATCTATCCATCCACCCATCCAAAAATAAGCTTGAGGTCCTGTTCCTCATTGCTTTCTGCCTCTATCCTATTTAACAAAGACAAAAAAAGACAAAAAAATAAAATAATAATGAATAAATAATAATGAATAAATAAATACATATTTAATAAAATAATTATAATAAAAACAATAAAATACAATATTTATTATATTTATTTAAAAAAATCTGAAACAACTGGATCTAAAGGCTTAAAACCACTGGTAAAAAAAAAATCACTTTTGTAATTTGTAATACTTTTCATTACAAATTATAATATATAAGGAGTGGAGAAATTGTTTTGGGACTAAATAAATAAATAAAGCGTGAGAGACTAATTTGAGTACAAAATATTTAAGAGTATAAGCATTTATCTGTCAGGAACGATAGACTCTATGGATTGTTTTTAGCATCTCTGTCACATCAGTGTGATTTTACAGCTGTGACGACTATGATTATCAGGACTATGATTTATAAATGCAGTTATAGCAAGACTGTCTGATCTGAGTTCAGTGGGGTTGAGAGTTAAATAAATGAAAGAATTAGAGAACCATAACCATATGAACCACAGCCAAGTTCTAGAAATAGCAGGTTTTAAAAGTTTGACAAAGTTTTTGTCTTCACTTTTTAATAATCCACCATCTAAAACGCAATGACCCGGTAATATACGTCAATCTAAGACAAGTGACGTATCAGCCTTCAGAGCAGATTCATTTAGTTCAAACAGCACTGTGGAGTTTTTAACCGCAGAAGAACTACAGCAGCTCTCAGCAGATCATGAGAGTATCTGGACTGGTACAGAAAGAGCCGTCAGACGTTCTGAAGCTCAGATGGGGTTTTAATCAAGAGTCCTGCAGTTTTCACATCTCTGATAAATGCATGAGAGAGAGACTTCTGATAGGTCCATTAAAGAATTAAAGAGTGCTGACCGCATTTAATAGCTAAATAAATGCCGTTGGTGATGGGAAAGAATTTTAATGGCTCTTCTGCTGCTCTTGTGTGTTTGAACGTCTCTGATATTACTGTATGTGTGTGTGCAGGGTTCAGAAATAACACTCAATAAAAACCAAATGCAAGTAAAAACTGGCTTTAACCTTTATATAAACTGCATCATAATGCATGGTTTAAATTGTGTTTAGTAACCAGTTTTGCTTAAAAAATAAATGAATAAATAAAAATAAATCCATGTCAATCCTACTGTACATTTGAGGTGCAAAATTGAATCTGTTTGTAATGGGTGGCTATCTAGTATACAATGCTGTGAGTAACAGCAACCTGCACTGTGTGTCAAAAATATAGCTATTAGGGAAGATCTGATAAATAACTACTTTACAAATATATATTTTTTAAATGTTTCGTTTATATATGCAGTTGGATCTAAAGGCCTAAAACCACTGGTAAAAATGCCATTTTTTTTTTCCAATTTTGTAATTTGTAATACTTGCCATTATAAATTATAATATTTAAGGAGTGGAGAAATTGTCTTGAGGCAAAATAACTAACTAAATAAATAAAAAATAAAGAGTGAGAATCAAATTTGAGTAAAAAGTTGAATAAAATAAAATACAATAAAATAAAAATGATAATATATACAGTATGGAGTGGAGAAATTGTTTTGGGCAAATAAATAAATAAAAATACAGAGAGAGACCAATTTAAGTGAAAAGTGGAATGAATGAATAAATGAATGAATGAATAAATAACCCAAATAAACAAACAAACAAACAAACAAATAAATAAATAATAGGGAGGGAGATAAGTAGAACTCTAGAAATTAAATAACAATAAACAAAGCTGAAAAAACATAAAATATAATATTGTCTTAGTATTTTGTTTGTCTGCTTTTGCTATAATGAACAAAAACCTGATCACACTCTCCAGTATTATTTGAGAATAATCCAAAGAGCATGAACATCCTAAAACTTTCTATTAATTTTCAGATTTAAATGTAATTTTGAATCAAAGACATCCAATGTGGACTGCATATATAGCACAAAATACTGGCCATTAAGACATTTTTATGGCTGATAAATTCTCTCAATGTATCCACTATTGGCAGGTGAAACAAAACATTAAATCACACTAATACCCAACATAACAGGCCTGCCGTAATGACAGATAAATAAGGCACTAGTGCTCTGACAGCCTCTTGTACGCAAGCGTAACACTGATAAAGGCAGAAGAGACGATCACCGTGTGATATGAAACATGTTTCATGTCACGGTCTGGTCATCTCAGATGAGTCCTCCAACATTTATGAGCTCATAAATATGCATTAATGTTATGCAGGTCTGCAGGCTTGAATAAACATGATCGTGTGATGTGTTATGAATGGCTGCTGACCCCCAGACAACGAGAAGGAAAGTGAAGAGGCACGAATGCAGATCCAGAAGCAGAGAGGGTGCTTACAGATAAATATAGACACAAGTTTGAGCTTTGATCTCTGAGTGCCATCGACAGACAGACAGAGAAAGGAGCGGGTTATGCGTCGGCCCACCGGGAAAATGCCCGGTATGCCCGATTACCAATCCAGCACTGGTTACATCACACATACTGTCACAGAGGAACCTACAGATGATCCAGGCCAAGACATGCCGCTCCAACTCTCAGACAACTCCCATGATTCTTTGCAGAGAATCCACACAGTGATCACACACACACACTTTTCACTTTCCAATCTAACTCAGTTTTAACATAAGAGAAAGGGCTGGAAACATTGGCTCTGCATCTGCCTCTGTTCTCGTACCAGTATTGTAGAGTTTTTAAAACAGCTCAAACTGCAAAACATCAAGATAAAAACTTTACAGATGACATTATAACCTCTCTACCTTAATAGCACACAATATAGCAAATTTGCACTTCTGTACTTGTTTAAAACCATCGACTGTTTACCTTTAAAAAAAAGAAGAAGAAAAAAACTATGTTGTGTGATATACACTGCTGTTCAAATATTTGGGATCAGTAAGATTTTTAATGTTTTTTAATGGAGTTTCTTATGCTCATCAAGGCTGCATTTATTTGATCAAAAATACAGAAAAGCAATATTGTGAAATATTGTTGCAATTTCTAATTTTGGTTTCCTATTTTAATTTACTTTAAAATATAATTTATTTCTGTGACGCAGCACAGAAATGACTCCAGTCTTCAGGGTCACGTGATCCTTCAGAAATCATTCTAATATACTAATTTATTATCAGTGTTGAAACTGTTGTGCTGCTTAGTTTTTTTTTTGTTTTGTTTTTTTGAACCTGATACTTTTTTCTTTGATTCTTTGATGAATAAAAAGTTCAAAAGAACAGCACTTATTCAAAACAGAAATCTTTACTATCACTTTTTATCCATTGAACAAATCCTTGCTGAATAAAAGTATTAATTTCTTTTTTTTTTTAAATTAAGGAAAAATGTACTAACCCCAAACTTTTGAATAGTAGTGTATAATGTAACACAAAATTAATATTTTGAATAAACACTGTTCTTTTTAACTTTTTATTTATCAAAGAATCTGGAAAAAAAATATCACAGGTCCCAAAAAAATGTGTATAAATATACACCATTTCACTTGTTCTAATTATTTTTCATACATATATACATGCATATAATACACCTTTTCTTTCTTTCTTTCTTTCTCTGAAGTAAAGCTGAAGTACCTTTAAATTAACATTTTTCATGTGATAACTGCCTGATATGAATTTTATGTGTTATATATTTAAACAACTTGTGACCATGACATCAAATCAGCTTGTGACGGCATAAAAACTGCATTAAATTACACTAAAATATGTTCTCAAAAGTAGTTTTTTGGTGGAAAAGTGTAAAGGGGTCATTCACATATATGGCTTTAAAAAATCAAATAAAAAAAAGAATAAGCATTTTTCGAGAAACATTTTGAAAATCACTTTAAAAGCAGCTCTAATGAAAACCGTAAAACATGTCCATCTAATGCATGCCTACATAGACCAACAGTTATAAAACAGCACAAAGAACACAAAAACCTTGTTCTGCACGAACGGCCTCCAACACGCATGGTGAGGGATATTTCTCCTCGATTACAAATGCAAATCAGAAACATGAACAGAGACCAGTCCTACATCCACCGCTGGAGACAAATAACCTCTGAGTGTGAATATATTTGAATATCTGTATTCATGAAGCCAGGGACGGAGAGAGGAGAGTGTTCTTACCCCACTGTAGAGGAGCCAGCTGCAGATGTTCTAGTATGAGCTGGTTGAGGACGCCCTCCACGCTGGCCTCCCCGTGACGCTGAAGGGACGAGTGCACATTTGGTCAAGGAAAACGTGGCCTATCGCTATCACCCAAAACTGCTATACTGAAAACCGATGCATATTTGATCAGAACGTCCTATGATTCGCTTTATCATGTTTTTCCTGGAAGCGTTCAGAACAATAATGCCACTCTGTGTTTTCTGCGTTAAATTAGCCACGCAGCGTGCATGGAGACGATGAGCGTGTAGAAGGAGGTGAAATATTTGCACACAGCGACACTAATAACAGCGTTGAGAACAAAAGCTCATTACGTAACTGCAGTGATGCTGTCAGAAGCCTCTAATGACTGCAAGCTGTGTAACGATGCTGAGAATTGCGCTGACTCTGAGAGATGGCCTTCTTCTCAACTGAACCATGTAAGTGTACGCTGGGAACTGGTAGAGAGGAAGAGATTCCTACTGCCAGATATGGACAGCAATAATAATAAAAAACTATTTGACTTTAAAGGAATAGTTGACCAGAAATGAAAATTTACTCACCCTTTGGCTATTCAAGGAGTGCATGATTTTGTTTTTTCATAAGTACAGATTTGGAGAAATATAGCATTGCATCACTTGCTCTCCAATGGATCCTCTGCAGTGAATGGGTGCCGTCAGAATGAGAGTCCAAACAGCTGATAAAAACATCACAATAATCCACACCACTCCAGTCCATCAGTTAATGCCTTGTGAAGCGAAAAACTGCCATGTTTTTAAGAAAAAAATCCATCAAGACGTCCATAATCCATAAAATCGCTTTCTCCAGTGAAAAAGTCATCTCATTTGAATCAGGAGAGAAATATGCACAGATCAAGCCTTATTATGGATTGGGAACTGGTATTTTAGCCTTAAAGATGTTAATAAATAAGGATGTTAATTGATGGACTGTAGTCATGTGGATTATCGTGAATTTTTTTGTTTTTTAAGATTTTTTTTTGGCATTTTTTTTTTGCATTTATTATGATAGGACAGATCAGAACTGACAGGAAGCGAAGTGGGAGCGAGAGAGGGGGGCGGGATCAGGAAAGGTCCTCGAGTCGGGATTCGAACACTGTATGTCGGCACGCCGCCCACAAGGCTATCGACACCGACAATTTATCGTGATGTTTTTATCAGCTGTTTGGACTCTCATTCTGACGGCACCCATTCACTGCAGAAGCTCCATTGGATGTAATGTAATGGAACAAACACATCTACATCTTGGATGGCCTGAGGGAGACAAATAAAAGGATTCACATGACACGAACACTAGTAAGTGACCTCGCGTTTCAGTAATTATTGACAGACTATGAAGGTTATGAAGACTATGCAGAGACATCTCTCTTTATAATATATCCAATGTGGTCACACACAGATATATTTGTGTTTATGCTTGGTTGACTGGAATGATGGCATCTCTGACCTGCCGCATATCATTTCTCTTCATATCATTGTGATTTTACGTGTCCAAGAACGCCTATGTTTCTGCACATCCAATCAGTCATGCTGATGCCATGCACATCACCGCTCGGGACTGTATCTTTTGATTATTTATTATTTTAGGGGGACGTTCAGAGCTCGTGTCAGGGTGTCAGCCTCCTGAAATAAATGGGAGATGATGAATGCCACTGGATGATGCGTAAGAAACCTGAGCGTCTGATTGGCTGCTGGGATTTTGGCAGTTTGGTGGATAGAAGATGTGATTGGTGAGTAACCGTGCTGCTCTATTTAGAGAATGTAAAAACACTCACACAAAAGCCATTTTCATAGCTACACCATAGATTTCTAAAGATTTTAACAAAGCAAATTATAATTACTAAAGGCGAATCTGAGCCCTAAAATACATGTAAAAATATTATTTACATAACATAATTTTTTTTCAGTTGAGGGCATCTTCATATGTGCCCAAAGGGAGGTTCTGTCAGATTCACTTCTTAGGACAAATTTGCCCTCAAACTATAGCTAAGTATATGTACTGTACACACACACAAGCGCCATAAGTTTGAGCCATATGTCAGTGCATCAAGCTCAGTGTAAACGTGTCTCCTCCAGTATGTCCAGCTGTTAGAAACAGATGCTGTCAGACGGTCATCCTCACATCCTTGGTCAACGACAGTTGTTTTAAATGTGCTATAGAAATAACATTTGTATTGTATTGTATTGTACAGTATAAAATCAATATGCCAGACAAGACCAAACCAGGCTCATTGGAAATATGTGTTTCAGGTGACATTTCTGCTACATCGATATTACGCACTTTACTGCACATTTCATTTAAACTGGAAACTGCAGTGATTCATACGAATAGGTACGTTTTTTTGAGTTTTGCAGAAATGTAGATAAAAGCATATATTTTCAATGAGCCTGTGTAGGGCGAGACGGTGTATTTCAGTGATTTTGCTTTTTAGTAATTTGAGTTACTCAAACTACTCAACACTGTAGCATCAAGAAGAAAGAGTTAGGGATAGTGTTATCAGGACAGCTGGCTTTAGTAAAGGATATGATGGTCCAGTGGATGTCCAGTGTGCTGTTGATGAGTCCTCCGTGGACCTGCTGTCTCTTCTCTTCCTGCTGGCGTACTGTAGCCTGTCGCAGTGCATCATGGTCGGTCACGGGCATGCTGTCAAAATCAAACTTATCCACCTGAATGGCCATCCTGCACAAACACAGGAGCACACAAAGGTCAAGTGAAGTGCTGTCATTCAGATCCACAGGAAAAAAATCAATTTGTTTCACAGAGGATGACATGCTCAGAGATAAATCCTTCAAACATCAGATTCCGTTTGTACACACAATGTTCAGAAACCGACAACAAAAATCCATCACCATAAAAGGCTTATCAGAAACGGTACACAAAAAATGCCAAGGACATGTGCACAAGCTCACAAAACCACTTCAGGCTCATAGAAACGCCAATAAAATATCCTTGACATTTCCATGTTCTCCATTATCAGCGAGCAGAGAGAAAGACAAAGCGGGAGAGACAGAAAGAGCGAGAGGGATGGATTAATGAAGGAGATAAGACCCTCTGGGGACTGTTGGGAGATGCTCTCAGGATCGCAGCATCTCTGGAGAAGAAAAAATCTATTGCAAATCTACTGATACTGATACTGACAGAAAAGATGCTGCGATGTAAGCTGTGACCTCACAAAAGAGCACAACAGCAGTCGTTTGAGCGTGTGGCTTGGAAATTATAAAGATAACAGTTAGAATGCAAAAGAATACACTATGGTTTTACATATTTTTGAAGAAAACGTGAGAGGTGCTCACATGTGCGAAACTCAACGGCATTCTAGGGAGTTCCAGAGTGTTGCTAAGTGACTGATAAAGGCTTCTGGGTGGTTTCTAATTGCCAGCCCATGTTAACAGAGGCCACTTTAAAATCTCTATAGCTATATCTAAAAAAATAAATAAACAAATATATATAATTTTAATAAAGCCACACTTTTGTGCCATGTTTTCAGGAGAATGAATGAATACATCCTCAATCAATCAATAAAATCATTATTTTTTAATAAAAGTACATTAATTTCAACAAAGCAGTATTTTCATGTCATATGCTGAGGACAAATAAAATACATCATAATTTAGTTTGGATGGATGGATGGAAGGATAGATAACAAAAATACATAAAAATATATAAGATAGATAAAATAAATTAAATACATATAAGGATGGATAAAATAAAAAAAATAGAAGGATAGATTGAAGGATAAATAAAAATTACAGTTTAGTTTGGATGGATGGATGGAAGGATAGATCAAATAAATACATAAAATATAGAAGGATAGATAAAATAAATTAAATACATATGAGGATAGAAGGGAGGAAAAAATAAAATAAAATAAATAGATAGATAGAAGGATAGATAAAATAAAATAAAATAAAATAAATAGATAAAAAGAATAGATGGAAGGATCAAAACAAAACAAAACAATTACATTTTAGTTTGGACGGATGGACATACAGATAGATAGATAGATAGATCATGTTCATGCCATGTGTTTAGGAGAAAAAAAGAAATGGACTTTATTGACTGATATTTTCTTCTCTGAGCAAATTATCGAGGCATGTGACTTGCGAATAGAGATTTTGTAAAACTACAAGAGTAATAGTGAAGCTTGGCTGAGCAAACCGCTAATGGAGAGATCTGACTGCACACACATCCTTCCTTCATTCATTCGTCCAGTCCACAGAAGACAACAGGCCGAGATTCCTCAGACACTGATACATAATTCATCACACACACATTAAGGAAAACACAAACAGCCTGTGGTGCTCTGGCCGCCGTGCAGGACTGAATCATTATTTTTTTATTCATTCACTGGTTTGTTTTCATTTTGTCAATTTTATCCTCCAGATCTGTTTAGTTTCATTTGTTTGTTCTATTGTTTGCTTTCCAATTTATTTCAGTTAATTCCTTCATTCTACCATTTGAGAGTTTGGTTACCTGTTTTTTTTTGTGCTTCTTTTCTTTCTATCTTCTTATTTTTTATTCCTTCCATTCTTCAGTCCTTAATTTTGTTCATTCGTCCCTCCTTTATTTCATCTATCTACCATTCTTTCTTTTTTTTTCTTCTTCCTTCCTTCCTTTTGTCCAACCTTCCTTGCTTTCCTTTTTTATTCTACTTTTGTTTTTCATTCTACCTTCCTTCCTCTATTCTTTTCTTCTGTCCTTCCATAATTCTAACTTCCTTCCTTTTTTCTTTCTACTATCCTTCCTTATTTTTCCTTCTTCATACTTTTTGTTCATCCTTCCTGTTTAACCTCCCTTCTTTCCTTCTATTCTTCTTTCATTTTTTGTTCTTCCTTCGTTTTTTTCAATTCTTACTTTCATTTTGTCCTTCATTTTCTGTTTGTCTTTCTTTACTTTTTTCGATCAGCTTCTTTCCCTTTTTCATTCTTTCTATCTTCCTTTTTCGCTCTTCCTTCCTTCCCTCTTTGCTCTTTATTTCCTTTTTGTTTCTCCTTTCTCTTTCCATTCTTCCTTCCATCATTTCTTTTTATCCTTCCTTTTTTAGTTCTTCGTTCCTTTCTTCCTCTTTCTGTTCTTCCTCTTTCCCATCTTCACTCCTACCATACTTACTTCTTTCTTCCTCTGGTCTCTTCTTATATTACTTTTAGTTCTTCAGTCGTTCCTTTTTTCATTCTACCCATCATGCTTCCTTGTTCTTTTCTTTGTCTGTCTGTCTGTCTTTCTTTCTTTCTTTCTTTCTGTCTGTCTGTCTGTCTATTTTTCCTCCTTCCGTCCTCTCTCTTTAATGCAGTCAGTCATGATGTTGAGTCAGCTGATGTTTATGAGATGAGAGGTTAATGTCAGTGAAGAGGCTGCAGGTGTCTTGATCTCGACACTGATGGATGTGTCAGTAAATGTGATCTGATTCGTGTGTAAACTGATCCTGTAAAACGACACACAGGTGAAAGGAGACGCTGAGACATGATGGACTGATAAATACAACGTCTGAGATGTGATCTGCGATCTAGAATCTCATAAGAGAACTCACTGAAACTCCAAACAAGGATGTCTCACCGCTAAACATGAAGAGCGCTCAGAAAAACTCAGAAATGAGAAGAGAGGGAAATGCCCAGAGTAATGAACCCAACCGCAGAGAGGTTTGAGATGTGAGGCTCATCTCACAACAGAGAATGAGAAAGACAGACCGATCCCCTTATAGACACTCCACTGAGAAAACGCAATTCAGCAGTTACTATTTTAACAATAAACCAAATTTAAACTTATGAATATAAAGATGCTTCTTCTCAGAGAAGGTTTAATCATCAAAACCACCTGACAGTTAAGAGCTAATTTTAGCATAAGGAGCACACTGTCAGCAGGCCAATTAAAACACTGCCACTAAAAATATTAAACTTCAAAAAAGAAAGAAAGAAAGAAACTAGTCAATCTCACTAACCAAGTAGTCAGCTGGACGTCAAGTGAACCAGTGCGACTCATGCCTAAAGCTAATGTTCCACAGAAATGTAATGTAAAATTATATTTAAAATTACATTTTACATAACTAAAATGAAATTTGTATTTAGGACAATTAAGCTTTTTTTATTTAATTTAAATTTTTTTTTAAAATGACCTGATTTTTTAACCTAATACACACAGATGGTTTTTGTTTAACGTATCATATGAAGAATAATACAGCCTTTTAATGCAGTTTCTTGACATTTTTCATCATTGATGTACAAAATATGCGAAGGTAAAACCTTAAAGTGCCCCTATTATGCCATTTTTAAGGTTGCTAATATTGTTTTATGAGTCTCCTAAAATGCATGCAAGGTCAAAAAAACACGTTAGTTTTCTCAGAAAATAGATTTAATTTGACCTCATTTCTAAATGATTCGTAAACGACTCGTGCAAAGCAGTTCAAAGAATCAGTCTCTAAGCTATACAAGATGGTATCGATTGTACCTTACCAATTCGAGCCGGAGTCTGATGATGAAACGGTTGAACTGGCTGATCGACAAGAGACTGATTCGCAAGCACGACTGGAGCAGGACGTTTCTAAGTGGTAAGTGTCAAGTGTTAACAAGTTTGTGGTAATTATAAAATGTGATGAAACAAATTTACTCTCACAGTGTAGGATACAGCGTCTTCTTGACATGATGTTAACCACACGGAAATGTTACTGTTTGTGGGCGGGCAAGTTGGCGACGTAGAATGTGGGCAGACATTATGCAAATGTGTTACTTTGTGACGTAGAGCCGTAACAGAATAAGATTCGAATTTCTGACGCCTCGTTTAGGCGATTTTGAGCCGACTCTTTTTTTTGATAGACAATAACTTTATTTATCGTGCACTGTCGGCTTCACAACTTTGCAGATAGTTTATGTTCACATACAGCTACGTGACATAATAGGGGCACTTTAAACACAACACACACGTGCAGGTGCAAAGAAACAAACACATCCCTGTTCTTCATCATTAGTTGTCAGTATCACTGCATCTGGACTCAGTCAGACAGAGGGTGTTATCATTCTATGCATGAGCACTACAAAAGAAAAAAAAGAAAAATTAGAGAGAGAGAGAGAAAGAGAGAGAAAGCATGACTGAAACAGACCTCTAACGACTGAAGGACAAAAATCACACACACACACATGCACATACATACATAAACATATACATTATACAGGTGACTCAGGGAGAAAAAAGGAAAAAGTGACAAAAAAAATCCTACACTTTAAAGTGGCTAAAATGAATTAAATGGTTAAAGACATGCAATCTGTGATACACATGAGCCATTTATATGCATGTACTGTAGCTGCATTTTAAAACAACCAGTTTGTATGATTTTTTTTCAAGCAATTACAGCAGTACACCAAATTCAGTTTTATCAATTTTCAATATATATTGAATAAATATTTGATCAATTTATCTATCTATTCATTATATATATATATATATATATTCAGGAAGAGAAAGATACAGATACAGATACAGCATTTATGCGATCAAGGCATTTTGCTGCAGTTGGAAAGTGTCACTAACTGTCTGCTCAGAGAGGAGAGCGAGAGAGAGAGGGTTATATTTAGCTCACGTGTGTGTTCTCTCCTGCGACTCCAGCAGCAGAAACACTGAGCTATTTATAGACCGCCTCCCCGTAACCCGCGGTTACCAGCACACACAGCAGCATCACTGCGCCACGGCAA